ACAGCAACGTTAATTTCTTCCACAAGAAAGCCCAATGGCTAAAATGGTCATCGGAGCTTTCTTGCGCAAGAGAGTGTCTACACTGGCATGGATGCTTTTGTGCAAAAGCAAATCTTTTGTGCAAAGGCACATGCCAGTATAAACGCTTTCTTGCGCAAATACTTTTAACGGAAAAACTTTTCCATTAAAAGTATTTGCGCAAAATCATGCCAGTCTAGATGCAGCCATAGAGTTTAAGGCCAGAAGGACCAAAAGATCCTGTAGTCTGACTTCTTCTATATCACAAATCACCTATTTGTGTTTGGTTAAAGAATATCTTCCAAAAAGGTATTCAGGTCTGAGATAGGTGTCATCCCATTGACTTATGTGCTTCAGGCAGATACAAAGAATTTTTTAAATGGAAGATTAAACCATGAGGCTCAGCTCAGTCCAGAGTTAGAGACTATATGGAAACTGCTCCATCCCCAAAACAGCTCTGGCAAGAATTATGTCTCATATAGTCATATTTCTTCCCTGGGTTTTCCTTGATCTAGGGAGGGAAGAATATTTTATTTCTCTGCTTTTTGAGATGCAATTTAATTTCCCCTTCCCATCTGGCACCAAGCAACATCTGCTGGACAGTGTAAAGGTGTTGGAGGGACAGAAAACAAAAACCCACCCACTCCCCTCACACTTGCAGTGCAGTATCAGAAGTGCAGCCCCTGATACCTGACCAAGAAGCCAAGCTAATATGGTTATGGAGGTGAGTGAGAGATGGTGTGCTTACTCTTCTGTGTGATCAAATAGAGCTCAAGGTCATAATCAGTATTTTGTGCAATGCCTTTTATCCTCCTTATTTGCTCCCTTAATTTCCTAGTAGCAATGGATGTGGGTAAAAGAGGGAACAAATGTCATTATCTTGAGTTTATATAAATATATATATATATTTAGAGAGAGAGAGAGTTATAATTTTAAATAGCTTTTCAATTTTGTTTATTTTTATATTATTTTGGAGTATCATTAAATGCATGGGCACCTCCTATGGAAAACCTTGTGAAAGAGGAAAAACTTATTTGTGAAGCCTCTTGAGGTAAAGTGCATGACATCTCTCTAACATCCTCCCTCTAGTGTATGGAGTGAGCAGCCTCATGGAAGAACCAGGGACAGGGCCTCCTATGTTCAGATCGGGATCACACAGGAAACCTTAGCCCCAAAGTTGATGTATGGAGCAGATATCTGTGAATTTGGGTCTCTCCTCACATCGAACAGTATGGCTACCCTCTCTCTCTCTCTCTCTCTGTCTGTCTCTAGAGCTGGATGTTCTAAACTTCATTCATGGGTATCTTGTATAACTAATGCTAATTGTAGCCAAAATTAAGCTCTGGATTTTTGCTGTCATTTTTATACTCACTGTTACAGGCTCTGTGCCAGTGCAGGTCCCCTGCCTTGTCTCCTGTCAATTTCTACTAGGACCTCAACTGTGTAAAGATTATCTGTGCAATAGTGGCAGAAGTATTTTGTGTAGGCATTGCTCCCCTCCACACAATCTTATGACCCTTTTCCCCCTTATATATTGACTCCTCTCCATATTGTGTAATTGATGAGAGTACCTAGAACATGATGGACCATATCACCATAAAATGTATTTTACTGATAATATATTACAAGGATGTTTCCTAATGTACAATGTTAAGGTATCCAAAGTACAATTAATTCTAAAAATCCAGAGCTGGTACAGGCCTAGCATTAATAAACATATTCACCCAGCATAGCACCTTTCTTCACAAGTAATCCATAATTTCAGTGAAACTGCTTGCAAAGCAAGAAACTATTTAACATGGAGGCCCACTGAAATTTAATTACAGAGTAGTAAATAATTGAAATAGTTCTACATAGCACTTTTCATCCATAGATCTCAAAGCAAAAGCGCTATAAAAAGGGTATTTTTATCCCCATTTTGCAGCTGTGTAGAGCCAGATTTCCTGAGCTCTTAGTCTGGTGCTTTTTCCACTATGCCACACTGCCTCCCATGTACTGTAAATACAATACAGTGAGTCATTCACTCCACGGTTTGGTAAGACAGTATTATCAGTAAGGGCATTTATGCATAATATTATAAATAAATAGTCACATTTCATAAAATTTAACACCAAAAGCGACAGAAATTAATTTAGCCTACTTAAAACAAACTAGCAAGATGATTATTTTGTAATACAAGTTGTATTTGTCTGTTACAAATGGAACACTTTATATTGACTGTTTAGGTATTAAAGATATATAAATTAATATGATACCAAACCAAAACATTTTTCAGTTTCTAATAATTATTTTCTATGAGATATGAACAAGTCAACTCAGAATCTATCAGAAGATAATGGTGAAAAATTATATTTTTTATTAAAAATACTTTTGGCTGTTTTAAAAATAAAACAATTAGATCTGCTAGCAGTGCAGACATACACATTTTTAAAAGGCAATTCTGTTTTAGATTTTTTTTAAAATGTATTTGATGCTTTTATAGTTATATCTCATTGAAGCTTAATTGTATGTTCTTGTATTTGAAAAAAAATAAGTCAAATGATCTGGTGATTAAAGAGAGTTGCCACTTGCCTGAGCTACAGCCCTAGGGATATGACCTTTTTAATCCTCTTTAGTTAATGTATTGGTGATCTTTACTTAGGCAAAGTAAATAGTGCTATACTGAACAAAGAGGAGGTCATGCTTCCTGCATTACACTCTGACCCAGAGGTCATGGCCTTTGTTCACTTCTCAATAGGAATTGCTCTCAATGGGCCACCACAAAATGGAGAACTAATTTAGGCACGTGCTGGCATAGAATGGCACAGTATCACATTTACTTCATGTAAAACTCTTGAATACTTGTACTTATACCAAACAAAAAAATATCTTTTTAAATTGGATTAACCATTTCATTTGCCCGTGTTTATATAATTACTCCTTTTTCATTGTTATTAGCTTTATTCTGGCAAAAACACATTGTTCGGATAATTCCAGTGCAGCATGTGCAAGTGCTTTATTTCTCTGATTTGACAAACTTACAGCTGTTCACATTTTTAACTGATGGTAAAGAACTTGCAATTACTTTAACATTATTTTTGTAATTTGTTAGTCTTGATTCTCTCATCAGAGCATTATTAGATTAATGAAAATTACTGCATTTGTCTAAAAAATGAAACCTAAAATATGGTAACTGAGATACTATAGATGGGCATTTGGAGGCATAGATATTATCTCAAAATACAACTTGAAAAGAAATGTGTCAGTATATGTATATACTCTGTCTGAAGATTTTTCACCTATGCCCAAAGACATCCTCAATGTATGGGATATACCAGCATGCAAAAGCAGGGTCCTTATTTGGCCAACACAGCCATTGAACTCCCTAAATAATGAGGGAGCATATGAAATAGAGTGGATAACTATGTAAAATGTAAAGGATGGCGCATAAGTGTACTAGATTCTTTTCTCACTTAAATTGGTTTTATATCAATGTGACCCTGTTGACTTCAAAAGGTTACTCTTGATTTACATGATTGAAAGCAGAATCAGTAACCACTATGAAATTTCTCAACTACTTTATAGAGAGCTATTACTTCCTACAAAAAATTTCATGCATTTGAAAGATATATATGTTGTTATGTACAGCCATCTGTTTCTTCTGTGTGATATTCTCCATTCATTAATGAAATCTATTAAAGAAAGTAGTGAGATCACCAAATAATTCTTCAACCTGTGAACACATATATCTTGAATAAAAATATGATACTACAAATTTTTCTTTCTTTGCAAAGATAAAGCCATTAGTCTCTGATGACTTAACAAAATTGTCTAAAACACAGCAGGATTAAAACTGCACAGAAAGGCATTGAATAAAAACTTGCAATATTACACTCATAAAAATATAATAATATCACAGTGATGAAGCTTAATGATCTGTGTGCCTATCTACAAGAATAGATTCAAGTGCAAGCACAGGGCTAAAATATGTATTAAAATAATTATTTACCCTCAAACGTTGATAAATCAAGCCTTACTGACTTTGAATCTCCACCCCGTTATGCCACTTTTTTACTAAGTGTAACTCCCTTAAAAACCATGGAGTATGTTGGCTGTATTTGGTGTATTGGAGCAGAGAATTGCATTCACTATGTTGCTGTTGGTGAAGGATTTGAGCCTGACAACACTAGCAGCTGCTGTGTTTGCTACTTGTAAGTATTTCTACTGACTCCAGTGGGATTGTAAGTATTTCTACTGACTCCAGTTGGACCACTCCATTAATATTCCCTATACCTTGTATTGGGTGCTTGTATGTCTGTGTCATTGGCATAATCTGGGTCAATCTTGCTTGCATTTGTTCATGCCACCATGGGTGGGTGAGTGAATGTGGGGGTGCATATAGAGGTCTGGTCCATAGTAATCTCATGCAATACTGCGGGAGGAGAATATGGAGAGTCTGTGCAGAAGTTAGAGACCCCCAAAGTCAAGTAGGCACAATTACGTTGGGACTTCCAAAAAGTTGAATAGTGAGGGGCTTTGGACAGGGGTTGACAGAGAGGTTAGAGCAGTGCTAGTAGATTTTCAACATAAATTTGTCAGTTGTGCAGGACTCTTCTCCTTGAGGAGGCGGGAGTGTACCAGTAATGGATTGGTTTCTATCAAGTGCTCCATTCCTCACCAACACTCTCCCTGGACATGTCTACACTGGGAAATTATTTAGAAATAACTCCTGAAATAATTATTTCAAAATAGCATGTCCAAACTACAGAGAAGCCTCGAAATTAGTCCGAGGCAGGCTCCCTTAATGTGGACACGATGTCTTGATTTTGAGTCCCAGGAAGCACTGGGGAATAATTACTTGGAATGACTCTGGGGAGTAGATATTTCAAAATAGCAACAGTGGAGCATCTAATAACTATTTCAAAATAAGCGATATTCCTCATGGAAAGCAGGAGTAGTTATTTCAAAATAACCAGACTGTCATTTTGAAATAATGGGCATGGTACTATGGACGCTCCGCTTATTATTTCAAAATAAAGGGAATTATTTTGAAATAACTCCCTCCAGTGGACCAGGGCCATGTGATTGAGCTGTATGATATAGTAAGAATTTGACCTATTTGAACAAAGATAAATATAGCCTAGAAAATGTAATGCTTCAGCAAGACTGCAAATAATCTGTCACTTATTTTTGCCTGATCCTTTCAGTTCACTCCTTTTGAAACTTTCTTTTCTTTGAATTCTATCAATCTCAAATTAAAAAAAAAAATTCTTGTCTTTAAAACAAAATAATGTATTTTGGGAATTATGTGTATTTAAATGATAACTGTCAGCTACTTTAGGTCCAAAATTTGGATTGAGTAATAAAACAGAAAATAAGGTGATTGAAACAAAACCCATTACAAATAGAATGTTTATGATTTTTTTATTTGATCTTACTGAGAATGGTTCTGCTATGGAACCAAGCAAACAGTCTGGTGCTAGTACATGAGAAATGGCAAATAAAAGTGACTATATAAAACACTGAAATTTGCCAATAACTTTTCCTTGTCCAAATGAAGAGAAGTGCAAAAATAAAATATTTAGATAGTAACACATAAAAAGATTTTTAAAATCTTTCTGTTCAATAACCTAATGTTTTCACACAATTCAGAATTTTTAAAAATGTGTATTATGTCCTATGTTGTCTAATAGGAGGATCACTGTCAGGTCAGAAATCTTATATATTTAAGTTCCTTTCCAGTGTTAACAAGCTATATTTAGAATACTGAATATTGAAAATAGAAAATAACTTTTCACCTTTTGCATACAGGCAGTCATATTGTTTGCCTTTTTGCTGTATGCTTAGTTTGGGGAGTGAAAATAGATGAGCGAGTTCTTATGTGCTTTGTTTAGTGACTTTTCATATTTTAGTTGTAATGTACTAGTACAGAGATACAATGTGTGGGGTGCTGACTTTATAGGGGAATGTTTGATCTAAACAAAAAGACTTCTAGAACTGGAACTTTTAGAAAAATAAAGAAAATATTTCTTTCAATCTAAGTTTTGTAAAATGCTCCTTTCTCTTTAAAAACTAAAATGAGCACCTCAGTTGATCTGACAATGTCACATTAAGATTTCTGTTAGTAAACAAGTTTTTCTTTCATTAAGAGATGTCTTACAGTTAATTTCAATTTTCTCAGTAAATAATCTATCCAGTATTATGTAGTATTAAGTGTTTTTGGTACATACCAAAAGATACCACCTCTTAAATCATCAAACTGAATGGGGACATTATGGATATTTTCTTGCTGAAGTGCTTTCTGAACATTTAACCTCCTCTCCTAGTAGTTGATTCAACCGTAGTTTTCACTCTTTTCAAAATAACTTTATCTCTGTCAGGGTGTACGAAAGTGACAAACACTCCATTGCAGATGTTAAAGTTGATTCTGTAGTATTGGTGTCACTGTTAACAATTTAATAATCTCATATGCATTGTAGATCTCAATAGCAAGGTTGGTTCTCCTTCAAGATAATCTGACATTTAATTAATTGCCACTACAGCGATAAATGTTATACAGATTACAAAAATAAATATACGTAGCACTTTAACAACATTATGGATTCTAAATGTGATTTACACAGTGAAACTTATGAAGGAGCCAGTGTTGTTATGCAGCTTCATCAGTTGCGACTCTCTCCTCAAAACAATCCCCAAATGTATTGAATTCACTGTGGTTCCACCTTATTTTGATGACCAGCTCTATTATGCAACTGACTTTTGTTGGTCCCTTGAGTAGTTATTTTCACTGTACTTGACCTGGAGGAAAAAAAGGGAAAAATTACTGTTAGTTTGGGAATTTGGTGAGGTTTTGGCTTTAATATACAAACTGCTGAGTATTTTTTTAAGGGTGGTAAACGGTTTCCTGAACGCTAAACTGCCTGGAATACATTTAGGTCTGTTAGAATTGGGCACAATTCTGTTGAAATTAAGGGAAATATGTCTATCCACTTTTATCCCAGGATGGAATTTGTTCCTTTGCCTTTTTTTCCTGTGAATTGAGTTAAAATGCTACATGTGCATATAGTTGCATAGAGTTGTGCCATTTCATAGTTGAAAATAAAATAGTATTCTATATAAGTGCTGTCATTTCTGGGATTTTTTTCTGTAGTAGTATAATTACATGCTTCTTTTCTACTGCAGAGATTCACCCTGCTTTGTCAAGAAAAATGGTATACACTAGTCAAATGGCATTCTCTTCCAGGAAAAAAAAAAGACAATGTTACTATTAGGGCCTATACATTCAAAGAATGGTGTATCATACAGGGATTTAAGCACAGAATATTTTTTTTGAGAGATTAATTTTTTTTCGACTGACCTAAATGCTTGTCCATTTAATGGCTATGCTCTGACAGTACAGAAGGGGTCAAATTTGCATGAGTTTGGTTAATATTCCTATAAAAATCATTCAATGTGTAAATAACACACATGTCCACACATCTTTCTATGTGTTGGAATCCATATAAGTACAAAACATACAATAACATTTTATCAAATGTTATCAAAACACAATAAAATGTGAGGTTCCACATTATTAATCTCCATGCAAATATTCCAATCTCCTTCCACGTGAAGAAAACTCAGTGTTGCCAATGGAAGTTCTGTGCACAAAAGGAGAACAGAATATTGTTATTGAGCTTTGTTTTGTGGAACTGAGAATAAAATTCTGTTCTGCATGTGTAGGTAGGAAATTAAACAAAAATTTCTGAGTTATGCCAATTGCCTTAATTGCTTCAGTGCTGCTGAAAAGTCTGAGCTCATAAGTGCCATTAATTTAATAGCAAAATGTACATATACTATGGATCTAGGACCAAACAGGTTAAATTAGCGTTCAAGGGTTAAAAGATTCCTCTTGTAGTATAATCTGTTAATTTGTGATGATGTTAGGTATTAGCTGTTGGGAATAATACATGCACTAATTCAGGTGCCATGTTTAAAAACTTGTACACTCTTTATTTGAAATTGCCTATGCTTCTTATAGGTCAAGAACATTCCTGAAAGCTTCATGGTAATATTCAGGGTTTTTTTTAACTTTAGTTTTTAATATAGTGAGGAGGGAAAGTATGGTGGAATTAGGACTAAGAAGGAGTACATTTGTATTTATGGTTTTGCAAAAAAATGTAAATTGTTACTATTTTTTTGTAGTATTAGCGAAATACTTTAATTTGTATTAAACAAGATTGTACACCCACAGGCCTTTATACTAGGAAATGCTTCAAAAATGTATAAACATATAAAAATGTGTCAGTGTAGACATGTAATTGGTTAAATGCTGCATGTATGTAAATATATGTACACACATGTAGGATATATAATGGACGTGTGTAAATACACATTTTTTAAAATAAAATATCATCACAATGTTTTGTTAAAGCAGTTAATAGTAAATTTCCTTCCATTACTATCACAGAATTATTGATAATGGTGTTAGAGGACAATTTTGATACTAGAATTAGCATAGAAAGCTCTCTAAAAAGGTGATGTATTTATAAATGAATCAGAGAGAAGTCTGTTTTTCTACCAAAAATAATCACTGCCTTGTTGCCAAGAGACAAAGGTGTTTCTGTAATTATACTAGATTTCTTTATTATGTTAGTCACTTGCACTAGCTCATTGACAGCACAGTTGTTTTGGAACTTCTTTGGTGGACCCAAATGATGGGATACTATTGCTAAAGTGAAAATAATTATGTTAAAATAAAAATATTGAAAGGTGCAATTTTGAATTTATCTTTTATTCACGTACAATCTATTTTACTACAATTAAGAGATGGATTTATTCCTAGCAGAAAATGGTTAATTTTTAAATGTCATGGTATTTGTCACTAATGTACTCTGAGAGCTTTCATATGTTGAAAAGGATTATTTTGAAACAACTGAAATAACTGTTGACTGTTGTCTGAATAAAATCAGTTAACCAGTTTTCATGGCATTTTTTATTGCTAATGCCATTTCATAATAAATATTATCAATTTATGTAGCATAGAAAAAGTTTGTGAAAATTTTCTGTACATCAAGTGTTCTGATAACTTTGTTTGGATTTTGTGCTGCAGTAACCATTATTAAAATATCAAATACTTTTAAAATTATATAGATGCTGTTTGTTGCTGTTTTAATTTTCAATAAAACTAAAATAAGAATAATTAGGAAACAGAATTCTTTGCAGTTCATTTAAGATTTGCTGCAATATTATAGCAGAATAAAAATTCTGTTGGAGCTGTAACACTTTTAGAAAACATATTCATATGCAACATTGATTTGGGTAATTGACTTCATTTTGTAGGACAATACATTTTGCAGTTTCAAAATAGAATAGGCTGAGTTGAGGCCTTTTGGCTAAAACTGCTCTTCATTATACTGATGTGAATCCATCAGTAGCGTCAATATCAGCAGAGTTCCTCTGAATTTATACCAGTGCAACTCAGATCAGAATTTGATCCTCTATTCATATTTTCTTTCTTTTTTGGGACATTTTTCCCAATTCTTAATGCTCTTTTTATGTTTTCTACCATATCTGCTAAATATGAAATGTGTGGGTACATTTAATAGCTATGGTATATTTTTTCTGTATGGAGACACCTTTACATATTAAAAAATCTGGTCACATATGTGTATATATTCTTACTTATTGAAGCACATCTCACAGTATAAAATTCACAAACTTTAATTCATATATCTCCTAGTAAGAGTAAGGGTTATAGTAATGGCTAAAATTGCTAACATTCAATAACTTTAGTATGTATAATATGACTAAACTGAAAAATAAATCCCCTCTCTGATAACATAATAGAAGTCAGATTATAAATATGATTTAATGAATAAGGTGACCTTTGATCAACACCTACCTTTCTTAATTGCTGTCTCTGTTGAAAATTGAGCACAGACTTTTAAAACGTGAAAATATTCATGATTATTTTAAAGTATTATTTAAGTAGGTAAAATAATATGTCTAACAGGTTTTACTGCTATGTGTCATTAAGAGATTCTCTTTTGTGAAAAAAAGCTTAATTCCACCACTACTAAATATTTCTTTCTTTAAAATTTTGGATTTGAGTTTCAACATTTTATACAACAAAGCTAGGTAGATAAAATTAAAATTAATCTTGTGTATCATCTTCTATATTATATATTGGGTAAAGAACGATATATACTTAATTGAACTTATAAAACTAAAGTTAAACATATAATACATAAAGAATTTGAATAATCAGTTTGCAACTGGATAACATTAACTATATGTTTATAGAATCTTGCATAAATACAAATATCTGTAAATAAAAAATATTTTATTGTTTAATATATGTTTTATTTAAAGCCCATCCAGGTATTATTGAAATTTTCTTGTTTATAGCCATTTCTAATAATTGGTACTGTACCTTATTTTCTCATTTATTATAACTATCCTAGAAAATGCTACTCCTCTCCTTATAATTTAAAGATGCAAACTCTAGTTCACTGCAATCATATTCTCAGAGAATTTACTACCTTTCATGAAAATATATGGTAATTTACAGGATTAAAATATTTTAAATCTTGTTTTTATGGACTTCATTAACAATTAAAGCATATATGTTTGCTAACACATTTTTGCTTGTTATGAATTGTTTAACAGTGAGTTTTTCCTTCTTCGGAATTTGTTTCTGTAGACTAGCTAAAATGCTATATCATTTTAAGCAGAACTCCTATTTAAATCAGTGGAGAATTCTGCTTAAAAACCAGTAACATACTGTGATCCTAAGTTCACCAATGATATCACAATAGAATTATTGCCATAGGCACTAACATAGAGTAGAAAACATACATCATAAAAATTAGTTCATGTCACTTACCAGTGAAGGTGAAAAAGTATTATTGTACAGAATAATAGAGATCACTCAACATTTCGAAGATATTAAGCTTGGTGCATAAAATATGACCTTCAATAGCTGTGAAGAAGTATTTTAAACTTGGGCTTTGCAGCATTTATTTCATCTTCTTTAAATATGTGTTGATTGCCGTGGGCTACTTGCTGAATAGGGTGTTTCTGAACAAGAGTAAGGGTGGCAAAAGAATTTGGCCCCTTAGTGTTTATTTAAAAAAAAAAAAAAAGCAAACAGTGTGCTCTATTTCTTCTATTTAAAAATTGTAACAAAAACACCTATATAAAACTAACAATGCCCCTCAACAATCACTTGCTTTCAAAGGAGAAATAGTGAATACCACAATGAGTCATTTTAACAACTAGCAAAGTCACATTTTATGCATGAAATACAGTGTTCTGGAACTTGCAATGTGGCTCCCTTATCATTCTGTATAACTACATAGATCCCTTCACTGATAATAGAAGCAGCTAATTCTTACACTGTAAATCCATGATAATTGTTCCTGTTTGACTAATTTGGGTATTGAAACTTATTACAACTAAAATCACAAAATTAAGGAAACAGATTTTTGTGTGTGTAGATTGACTTTTTATTTTTTTAAAATATTTGTTGATTTCAGTAGCACATCTTGTACTCAAACCGGAGTGAGGATTGTGGAATAGACTGTTTGCAAATTTCAGAGCAGATGTGTATGTTTTATAAACATTATATAAAAATTAACATATATTTTATTATGGTATGCTGCTTTCTATTAAAAGATATTTAAAGGAATGACTTAGACTATCAATGACGATAACCCATCCTGCAAAGCTATATAGTCTAATTCCTGAATTAAAAATAAATTTCAGTTCATCAGATCTTGAATTAATATATAATGTGAAAAGCCATATTGAATTTCAAAAATGCATGTACAGTTATTGATTAAAAATTGATCATATGCTGTAAGTTTTCAGATGTTCCCTTGTCCTTTAAAAGTCAAAAATACACTACTTTATATAGTTTCTCAGTTTCAAGGTTAGCTTTCCCTCACAGATATCCACTGCAATGAAATTACCAGATGCAAAATATGCAGTATATTTATGACAACTAAATAGGAGCCAGTAAGCAACATTTGATCTTGTGTTTTGATTCTATGCTTGTGGTGAGAGCACTCATCAATACAGTACATAGGACAAAATGTTGATACAGTACTTCCAGTTTTAAGCACACTGTTGTGTACATTTAAAAATAATTACAAAAGAACCAGAAACATATTGGTTAGCACACTTTTCAAAACTGCTAATGCAATGCACTGTTTAATGCTTTCTTCCTGAAAAAAATTGTCTTCCTGCCAGAGTTTCATTTGTGTTGATATCATTTTAATGCCAAGTTTTCTATAAAACATTTCTATTAAAATACAGTGTAATGAAGAAAAAGACTTTGCAAAATGCTTTATTTTGTTTTTAAGGAAAATATCGTTGAAATTTATTCTTATTCAAACTACCTTTACACATTTGGAAACACTTGTTTTAAAATTGTTTTTATTTGTTATGTAGGTATTTAGGGGTCCTTTCTCCCCATCATTAAACTGCCACTGTTCCATTGATGTTAAATGGTATTATATAAAACTAGGTCAGAAGCCTATTAAAACAGGACTGAATAATATGTAAATACTGTACAGGTTGTAAAATGACCAGTAAGTTTGATTTTGCATGTTACCTTGAGTTTCAGGAGGACAAGTGGTAAGGCTGCTTTGCTTTTCTAAAATTTAGTTTGAACTTTTGGGAAGTGTCTTAAAAAAGAAAAACCTTCTGTTATATAGGAAGAATTCTCAGTGTTGTCACTTATAACAAAAATTATTATCTTGGACATTATTAAAAATGGATTTTCTAAGACATGCAATTAAACCTTTTTACAGAGACTTCCTGTAGAAAAATAATTTGCTTAATTGGGTCAGCTTTCCCAATGTATATGCATATTCATTTTAATTATACAATGTATACAGTTTTGAATATCAAAATATCACCTTCATGTTAACTATATTTTTTGAATTCATTCATAGATAATGGACCTTAAAATAATGTTTCCACTTCCCTTTATGGAATCCTTCCTCCGTTCAGAATGGTGAATGGAATTAAATTGTTTGCCCTTATCTCTTCCAAACCTTAATTTTTCTGTTCAGTGACCTAAAATTTGATTACTTTCACTCTTAAGTTAGGGTTATGGTAACAGATGTAAGTTCTGAGATAAATTCAAATTAACGTCAGTTCTGCAGTTGTCACCGTAGTTTCATGATGTAAGATACATTTTAGTTCTTCCTCTTCCATCCCCCAAAAGTTCTCCCAGTTCAGACACAGAATAAAGATGTGCTTGATTGTCTTCAGTTTCTTACTTTACTAAAAGTTGGAAGACAGAGAGGAGAGGCATTTTATTGTGGCATTGAATGGACAAAAATTAATAATAAGATGTTGAGAAACAAAAACTAACATGCATTTAGAGAATCATCTTAAATGAACATAAGTGAAAGCAACTACCTTTGGATAATTTAGTCCAGCCATTCAAAAAAATGGGAAATCCTATTTGTATGTGTGTCAGAAGTACAAAATTGTTGGATACACAGTGAAGTACAGTCTGCTTTCTTTTTTATGTGGATTATAACAGTTCCCTGTGTGTGCTGACAAATGCATGACACAGTGAATGTCATGTCAGTGTTTAAGATTAGCAATACAAAACTGGACAAAAACTGTTCTAATGTTCAATGTGTTTAGCATCCCAAGTTTATTTTTCTTACAGTTTTTAATTGTCCGAATTGATGACCCATGTATCTGCCTGTATGCACTCTGTATGCACTGGCATATTATTTATAAACTACTACACACTTGGCTCATGATTCTTAAACATGATCTTCAGCAAAAAGAAGGGTAGAAGAGAGTATCTGGATGTTTTGTCATTCTGCGATGTGATACTCACATAGACATTTTTGTATTGTGATGCGCCCAAAACAAATATTAAAAACATTTTGTGGTTTCACACTATAAAAAAAATTGGTAAGCATATATTATAAAGTGTGTATTTGACTTAAAGAAAGAAATATTATCTTATTTAGGATATTAGTGGTTAAGTGAGTTCTTTCTCAAGATCTTGAAGTTGTTTGGGAAAGTTGGTTATAAGTGAGTCTTTAAATATTTCAGTAGTCATTCAGGATGCAGCACAGCTCAGCTATGGCTCATTTGGTAGAAAACCACATATACTGAATTAGACTTTCTAGAACTGGCTGATGCATTGCTTTAAAAGATCAAATGTAATAAAAGTTATGTTTGCAAAAGGGAAGATGGTTTTCATATTCTGTATTATGTGTAGCAGGAAAATATGTTCTGTCAAGTACCTTATAGATTGTGATTTTACCAGTATGGCTTTTGTGAGTGAGTACTCAGGCAGGGAACATCCTAGGAGTTTGGTAATTTTGGAAGTTATGTTCTTTTTAAACAGAATCAATTATAAAATATGTTCACCTATCTTTGCAAGTGACAGTAGGTCAGACCATTGAAATAATGGACGCTTGAGTCACTGAGTTTATGAAAAATGTAAATGGGGCTAACTTTTAGAAAAACTCTGACTTAAAACACCTTTACTCCATCTTGCAGGACAGTGAGTTTTTCAGAGAAGCCTGGAGAAAAGTCTCTTTGGGGGGAATTCAGTTATTGCAAGGGAATAAAATGTTACAACTCAGCTTTCTTTTTTTTCCATCATATTTCTTTTCCTGCCACTATTTGCTGATCCATATTTTAAGGAACAAAACTTCATTAAATATTTTTATCAGAAGTATTTCATAAAACCATTGAAATCAATGACATGAAACTTTATAGCTGGTTTAAAGGGTAGTCATGAAAGCGATGATGGCATATGCAGAATAAATATTAAATCACAGGGACAGCTATGGCTTTCCTTAACTGATCACCTAACCTCTTTTCTCATGTGATAAAATACTTACAGGCGGAGGACACCCTGAGGTTGAACACTGCAAGATCTCTTTTCTCTCTCTCTCTCTCTCTCTCTCTCTCTCTCTCTCTCATATGGTAGGGCAAATCAAATGTTTAAACAGCATTTTTGTAAAAAAAAAAAAAAAAAAGCATATAAAACAATTTTTGAATATGCCAATAACAGAAAGCGCGCGCACACACACACACACATTATTACAACAGGGAGAGTTCATTGGTTAACTGAAATGGCGAGATGTGACGCAAAAGGACACTTGGATGAGTAGAAATGCTGATGGATGCCAAAGCAGGCGTACCAGGAAATGCTGTTGCTATGAGAGAAGCACACAGACTGAGAGAGAAAGAGAGAGAGAGAGAGAGAGCAAGTTGGGGAGGCCTTATTTTTTATCTTTTGGTTATACCAGAGAGACTGCAAACATCTCTGGTGTTTAGCAGAGAGAGAGAGGTTTTGGATGGATATTTTCATTAGCATAAGTTGAGGGACAGAGGGAGAGGAGAGGTAGCTTAAAGTATAAAACAGATGAAAAGTAGAGAGGAGCTGCATATTCTGAGTCAGCCATCTGAGTTATGGTAGATATACAAATTAAATACAGCAAATGAAGCAACTCAGTATGGTATCAGTGCTGATGTTAAGACTTACAAATTAAAACAAAAATGTAAAATATATATATAATAACCCCACCTTTTAAGCTTATGAAATGTCCAGCTGGAATACAGGCGTCTCTTTTGTCACATTCTTAAGGGAACTGCAATAAATTCATCTTATAAATCCATTAGCAAAAAAGAGGGCAAAATAATTAGCAAGGACCTTTTTTTTTTTGTCTTGCTTCTTCAGCAAGGGGGAAAAAGTTTGTGCTATGAACTTAGCCTAGCAGCTTCTGGAACTTGTGCCAAAAGGGGCAGGAAGTTGTTTTACAATAGAGTTACAGTGATCTGCCACAAATGGAAAAAGCCAAATGTTGGGCTCTGGGAAGAGGAAAAAATATTCTTTCTCTTCTCCCCCCAAACCCTTTCTTTTGCCCCGCAATAAAAAGGAAAGTTCAGCTGAAAGTTGATTTTTAATTGCTTTTCTAAGTAATGGAAAGATTATCTCACTTGCATATTCCACAGCAAGCATGAGAGAAAGAAGTATCAAAGGGACGTTTAAAAAATGCACTTGGTAACTAGCAACGGGACTTTTGGCATGATTCCTCGAGTTTGCTTGAGGTTATGGAAGGGGGATGGGAAGAAGAAAAGCAATTCTACGTAGTACGTTTTCTTAAAAAAAAGAGGGGGGGACCTTATAATAGGGTTTTTTTTTTTTTACAGGAAATGTGTGTTGATCCTCTAAAGCTGAATCCTTGGGTATTTGTAGCTCGTCTTTGCCGGCCGATGTGTTTTTTGTGTGAGTGTAAGCGCTCTCAATCAAACAGCAATCATGGCAGCTGTTTTTCTTCCAGCACAGCAGTTGAGCTGTCTCGCCCAAATGCTTATCAGCTTTTGACACTGTGCCAAGATACTTATAAGGGCCAAGCAGTCTCAGCTTGGCTGTGCAGCTGGTTTAGAAGTAAGGGCATGAGAAAACAAAATCACTAAGTTTTTGTCACATACAGTATTTGCTTTTCTAAATCCCCATTTACTACACTGATTTTTCTGTGAGGCATTTTGATGGTGTTTATGGATAGCTTAATATTGTAAATACGTTTTATAATTTTGGAAACAGAGCCTCATTTTTTTTATCCCTGCAGATATTTTCTCATGAAAAAGGCTGTAATTAAGAGATGAATATGCAGAACTGCCTTTTTAAACTTATTGTCATATTGTGCATGTATTAAAATTCCTTTCCCATGTTTTTCCCCTTTTCCCTCCGTCTTTCCCCACCCCCATCTTAAACACAAGACTGCATTGTGTTGAAGAAAAATAGCTTTGCTGGATTTGGAGGCAAACGTAGGAGAGCTGAAGCAAATGTTGCTGTAGGAGGGGTGCTTCATTTCATTGTTGTATGCCTGCTTGTGGTGTGTGTCTGTGTGTGTGTGTGTGCGCGCGCGCCCCCGTGTACGTGCATGTGTGTGTGTGTGTCTGCGTATGATGAAAACTAGCCTGCTCACGCAGGGCCGTGCCTCCGTTTCATCATCAGCTCTAGTCTTCTCTGTTTCGCTAGCTCATACACTCCTCCTCTTTCTTAGCCAGATTGCTGTAGTCGCTCACAAGGGGGAGATTGGACTATGAAAAAAGGTTGCTGCTGCAG